TCTCCTCTGGAGACATAAAGAAGCTGGAATCATTGTTTTTATTTACTCAGTGTATTTTAATGTTTCCCTTCCTGTAAGATATCTTATGCAGACTAGTTCTTCTGTTGTTCTCTAACTTCTGACACAATAAAAAAACAAAGATATTTTTAAAATATGAACCAATATGGGAATTGGCCATGTGTTTTTGTGGTTTTCTCTACTTGGTGTTAAAGAACAATATGACAACAATAACAAACTCACAATAGAAAATTATGAAAAAAACCAAAAACATCCAGTTTTATAGTACAAAACAAACAAGTATTTGGAAAAGATAGCAGTCTTTCTACAATGCAATTTTAATTCAAAATAAAATAGATAATTTTGTATATTCCATCAAGTCTATTACTAGCCACATTAACCAGGTGATGCTCATTTCATTTTACAGGTAATTTATTGCAACTGCAACACTAACTCCAAGGCAGTTCACAAAAAATAATTTACCTTAAGTAAACACCATTTGCCACTAATGATGGGGCAAAACAAACTTGCAGAGCATTTATGAACAGTAACATCTCTCTCTTTCAGTACACATTTGGAAACCAATCTCTGTTGTTTGCAGATGAATTAAGCATGGCTTGAAAAATCATTAAAGCCATCTGCTTTGATGAGAAAAAAAACCTGCTGTGATCATTTTATTGCACTCAGAGAGGCTAGGGACCATTTTACAATATTTTTTAGCATCATTTACCCTAAATTTGACATCCCGTCTAAAAAATGATGAATATTATCATGTCATGCTTATTTAGAGCTACATGTACAGACAAAGCAGCTTGTACAGGTAACTCAAGGTATTTGTTTTGCTGGTCTCCAACAGATGGATAAGCCTGTTTTTCAACCATTAAAATCTGTAGTTACAACAAACTAAATGTTCATGGGTTCTGTAGAAAGCTTAATCTCCCTCCTAAATGATAGAAGCTAATAAGCATAAAAATATCATCAGTGTTTCAGTTACAAATTAGTTCCCATGGTCCATTTAAACGTAACCTCCTTTTATGGCTTTTTCCCCAAGAGTGCTCTGCAGTTTTTCTAAGTATAATAAACCAGTAGGTTAATATTACTGGCTTTTTTGCTTTCCAAATACATACATTTGAGACCAAATCCACCTCATTTAGCTAGAAATAACTTCTAATAACTTTCAGAATCTCACCAATTCCATTTTTAAAATACTACTCAAACTCCTATAAATTGTTCAGATTTTCCTCTCAAGTAGCTTTCGGCAGTATTTTACTGACTGGATTCCACCACGGCTGGCTCCCCTGAAATACAGTACAAGATGTACAATTGCAGCAATGCTCTACCAATAACAACACTAACACTTTCCTGCTCCCTGTTTAGCTTTTGTACAAATAAATGTACTGCACATATGGAAGTTGTTAGTAAAATTTGTGGCAATAAAGCCTCGTAACATTAAATGAGTCATATTGTGGCACTTTTTTCAATTCCACAGAAGGGCGGTGAATGGACCACCTAGAAATGTCATTTATTGCATCATCATCCTAAACAGGATAGGCTGCATGTGACCTGAGCTAGGAACCAAGGAAGAGGAACCAAGGAGCCATGTGAGGCAGTAGCTGCTGCCTAGAACCACAGGAAGTATTTATAGGTACAAATATTACTCCCTTTTCCTGTACTCATCCGAATCTTTTGGCATGTAACAGACTCTCCGGTCCTGGGACCAGTCTAGAATAAACAGGCCCTGGGTATTCCTGTCTGTGCATTCATCACAAGTCCTTAGCAATGATCAATCCAAGCAGATAATCAACACAGCACAAAGCAGCAATGGGACTGATGGGTTTCAGTGTCTGCTGGTCATAACTTCCTTGATCCAGTCTAGAACCTTATCTGCTTTTTCATGACCAGATCACATTCCTCTGCAGCAGGCAAGAACATCTGGGTAAATCTGCTTGAAGGCTAGATTGTTCAAGAGAAACTTAATAATATGGAGTCCTCATTCAGATGCATCTGCCTTTTTTTCATTTATGACTCTCCAGTTCTCTCCATTCTAAGTCTTTGCTAGATATTCCCCTTAAACTCTATTCCTTCTCCAACAACCCTAATTCTTCATATGGCTTGAGTTACCGAATGATCATTTCCTCATTTTCTTTTCTTTCCCTCCACTTCATTTCCTTTCACTTTGCATCTCACTTGGTAATGCCTAGAAAAGTACACACATTTCTCTGTTCACCCCTTCCTTGCCAGTCCTCCACCTTTCCCTTATGGTTATACATGTACGTGTGTCCGAGGGATGTCAGCAACGACACTCCAAAAATCAGTCAACTTATTGAGTTTTCAGTACTTCCTGAATGCTTAGGTGTTCTTCGCTCAACCTGCCCCGTTGCCATTTCTGGAAAAGCCTAATCTTTGTATCAGGTTTCATGAACAACTGTTTATGCTTAACAATAATATTTGGGGATATTAAATCAATGCAATTACTCCCATTTTGAGGATGGAGAACTTGAGCACAAAAAAATGAAGACAGTGACCATACTTGTAAAGTAGTTCAGGTAAAGATCTGAATGAGCAGACAGGTCTCTGGACATAGAGCTCTGAGGTTTGTTCATTTTCTCTAGTGCATATAACAAATATTTTGCAACAAATTTTAAGCATACTTTCTCCTAATAAACATTAAAGAAAAGTCACCCACCTGAAATCTTCCATACCAAGGTGAAAACATATAATCTAGAAACTAATTCCACTGTTAGGTATGAAAACATACTTCATCATTGAGAACATCATGCAAAGAAAGGAGTTAAATTGACCAGGAACACAGCAAACTCATCATACATGGCCATGTTTCTGGGTGAAGAATGGAGCCCATGGGCTCATTCCTTTCTCATCTTTTCACAGGTGGTTGACCTGTAATTATAATCACTCTACCTCCCTTGTCTGAGAAATATATTTGTTGATACTCACAGAGATCTTTGCAAGGCCTAAAAGCAGAATCCAGCTGTATTTCTAATGGTGCAGACAGACTAGAAAGAAATAGCCAGGAATTTCTTTGACTGTAGAGGATCACGTGAAATGTTTGATGACTGCATAAGAGAATAGTTGACATCTATCTCATACACATAACAGTAGCTGTTAAAGCCTATGCAGTATCAACTATACAATCACAAGTCATTACCTTTCTCTCATTATCTATTCCATACTAATTCTAAGAATAAAGCATCATATTTGCATAAGAATATTATCTCAGTTACTCAACATGGTTTTTAAAGGCAGACTTAGAAGTTAAACAGTGATATTTTTAAAACAGTACAATGAATATTGTATTAAACAGTCACAGAGCAGAGAGCTGAGTGAGATAATGTATCTGCAATATTTTTCTGTCTCTAATAAAAGATATTTACAAGCATCCGTGATCAGGCTTCTATACTCCTTGAATGACAGAATTGTGCAGTTGATCCCTGAACATCTTAAGCTGCTTTTTAAGATGCATTCTTTTAATTAGGTAAAGTGCCTTGTATCTCATTGCTTTTATCCCCACATATTCTCACGCAGCACTTTTCTTTTAAAAACTTCTTAGGTTGTGTCACAGACACATACACACACACACACACACACACACACACATATACACACACACACACACAAAAAAAAAAAACAACAAAAAAGTCTTTCAAAATTAACTCTGAGGCAGAATGTTCTTCTAGGTTTGCATGGGAAAAACCTTGTCATTTCAAGACTCTCTGACTGTTCATCTAGTCTCTTTCTAATGAATTCATCCTTCCATTCTCCCCCAAAAGGCTGCTGAAGAAAAGATGAAAGGTACACTATAATGGAAGACGTACTACCAACTTATATTAGAAATTAAGATTTATGGTTTTGAAGGAGATAGCTGTTCCCTGTGTACAAGATGTAAAATATATAATATACAACATCCAGCATAGAAAGAATTTTACATGTATATTAGTTAATCTTATCATTTCCTTCATCCTCAAACAATTAGTTAATATATTTTCTTTTTTATTCCGTTATACTGAAGAATATAAATATTCTGTATCTAAGCTTACAGTCAGAGCCAACTTTTCCCAGCTGCTTAAGAGTTTAAGGAGCACTGCCAATACTTGCTGATTCACAAAGTCATGTTACTCATTCTCTCTTTGTCTGTCTTCCACATTCTCTCTACTCTTTTCCCTATTTTTCTGATCAGTATTGTACAAAAGATGCAATCTTTTCTTTGTTTGCATATTTGTTCCACAAAAATAGTGTTGATGGTTCTGATAATAGCCAGACTATGATTTATTGTGATATATTCCATATTCATGTTTCATTAAAATTAAGACACGTTTTTTTCTGTCCACTCTCACATCTTCTATGTTCTAGACAAATGAGCCACTAAAAGAAGGTTTTCTTCACTTATTTTGAATAGAAGCTATCTTTAAGTCCTAAGAACTATCCAACATTTTCCATCATCTCATTTCTTTGCTCTTTACTTTTCCCAACACTCAAGCATTTGAGCTTTCTTCGTTCAAATATGCAGGTAGAGTTGTGACAAATTGCAGCTATAAACTAGAAAAAGTTAGAAGCTACAGCTCTAGGTTCCACAGTGAAGCGCAGTATTTGCAAAGTACATTACATCACTGCTATTTTTAGGGCAGCAGCAGTAAAAAACAGATTCCAGACCTCACTTCACAAAATACTGCATGAATATATAGTAAAGAAAAGCTTTTATTCAGAAATCTTATTAATTCTGATCAATCTACTGTAGGTGTTGGCGGAAATAGTCCTATTAATTTTACTTACCTCCATGTTGATTTGGGCTTAATCTGTAATTTACATTATAATGATTGCAACTCACATACAATCTCCTGAAACTTCAGAGGACTTTTGTAAATACTAAGACAAAACAAAACCAAAGCAGCAGAGAATATTTTCCTTGATTCTGGGCAACTAATTTAAGCATGTGCATTGTCAGTGCTGCTTCTAAAAGCCAAATCAGAAAGCAAAGATAGCACTACCTGTTGGCTTTCTGACAATACCTCAGCTTCTCTTCAATATCCATAGAAAGAGACATGAAGAAAGAAGGTGGGGAATATACCTGTGGGAGGGATGGAAAAAGAGAATGTGACATCTGGAGTGGCATCTGGGATACAGGGCTCAGTACATCATGGCATGGTCCATAAGGATATTCAGAGAATTTAAAAAATTGTTTTGGTTGAAAAAAGCCTCTAACAATGTAAAGCTCAACTACAACCAACCCCACACTGCCAAGCCCACCACTAACCATGTCCCCAGGTACCACATTCACTTGTGGTTTTAAGCACCTACAGCATCCAAGCAATTCCAGAAGTCACTACTGGCTCAACAAGGGACATCACCTACTGTGGTCAGGAGAAACCACAAATTACCCACTTACTGTTTGGAGCATCTACAACCACCAGTGCCTCAGCTCTGCTAGAACAGATGTTTCACTGCACCCCAGCAGAGCTGGAATCTGATGGCAGACTGGACATGGGTTTATAAAGGATTTCCTCATCTTATGGAAAAGCTCAATAGATGAGAATAATTTTTTTCTGACACACCTGTTAAAAGTTATTATAGTTCTCACATCACTGAAAATATGTTTTTTTAAATCTACACATAATATTCTGTGTTCCATTTCTGGTTTCAGTTCTGTTAAATTCTCTATGAGTTTTCCAAATGGAGAAGTATTATTGCATTGATAGCAATATCAATGATCTACGATAAAGCTTTAGTAATATTATAGTCATTTAACCTAGCCTACATATATGACACAAAAAACTTAGGCACAAAAACCATAGACCCTTTTCTGTGCTTTTTCTGTCCAAATTTTAAAAAGTTATCTAGCTAGTCATTTCTTTGCTGTGAATTTTTACCTCAGGAAATTATAGAGGCATTAAATTTCTGAGTGAAGTAACAAAAGAAAAAACTCTAGGAACAATTTTCTATTCAATGACTCAAATGATTGCAATTAACAGCTTTCACATTTTCATGAGTTTAAGAAAGAATTTGACCTTCTTAACAAAGAATCAGAAACTGAGTACTCTTTCTCTTAATCGCTCTCTGAAGCTGAGCTAATTTAATTCCTGGATGATGCTGATTTCTTTGCTATAGCAGAAATTTGACCTTATAGCTTATAAAAATTGGTTTTTAGTATAAGTGCATTGGAGATGTTTTTATACAGTATTAATTGATGCTTATTGCAAGCTGGATGGCTGATCATTTAAAGCTGTGGTGTCAGGCATGCCTTGCTTGTGGGTCTTTGCGACATGACAGCAAGTACAAAGACTATTAAAATCTCTTTGTGAAAACACACAAAAATCAATCCTCTTCCAGAAGGAGGTGCCCTCCAGCACAATCAATACAAACTGGTACAACAATATCTTACGGTGCTTGTCAGCTGCTTTAAACCTTTTTGCTCAGCAGAGCTCACAAAGTGCTGCTGCGTTTCATCTCTGCTGGATTGTGCCAAATGAAGATGTATTTCTAAATGAGTTGCAGGGGCAAATGCTGCCATCAGTTACCCCTGTGCAGATGGCTTTAAATTTGGCAAGGTTGTAGAAGACTGATCTCAACTTAGATTTCATCCACTAGAGTTAAAGAAGATGAATTTGTTTACTGCCTTGAGACTTTTCTTTCCTCTACTTTAGTTATATTACTGGTTCTTGATGGAAATTTTTGCTCTACATTTTGATTCTTGCATGCTGGAGAGGCCAGAACACAAAAGCAATCTGAGTCATGACAATCTACAGTTTCTTTCACATTCCTTCTATTTAATCAATGGTATTAGCTCTAATTACAAGGCAACTGGTGGAAATTAACATCTTCAAGATCTGTGTGCCTTGATCAGGTGCACATCTACCAACTGCTTTAACTTTGCTTTGTCTCTTTGAGGTTGTGCATTTGTCACACCTCTAACACATGGCTGTGAAAATCATAGGATTTCTGCAAAGACTTCCTTGCAGTCAAATATTCTCCCCAGATCACTATGAACCCATGGCTTGATAAGTGGAACTGTTTGGTTCCTACTGCCTATCACCTACTTCAATCAGTTTTGTCTGCTGATACATATCCCTTGAAAATAAGCACCACAAAAACCAGAGTGATAAAGAGCTCTGGCTTAACATAATGTTGCTAGACACAGTAAAATACTCCACCAGCCCAGGACAACATACCCTGCACGCACATTCAATACAAAAAGGCTTGTGCAGTGAAAAATTCAAAAATTCATTCAGTATTTTCAGCTCTTGTGCTGTATTTCTTTATGTAATGAGACATCAAACACCACGACTGAAACCAAATCCCCTAAAATCTTGTCCAAACAAGCCCAGTCAAATCAAAATCCCTTTTATGGAAATTAACCTTCTGTGAGAAGAACAGAAAACTCAACCAAATAGGCAGCTGCACGACATTGTGAATTAGTACATTAGCCTTTCAGCCTTGGGAGAACAGAGTTTAAGTTCTGGCATTAGGCACAAAAGCAAACAATTTTTGAGGTCTCATATGAGTCATGCTCATGATGTACTTTTGATAGCTCATGTTCAAAGAAAGGTCACTGTGATTTGAATGGATAGCACAATAGATCTTTAGCCCCTGTTATTATTAGCTACTTATTTAATTTATTAAAAGTAACAGTGAAAAACAAAGAACCATCCTCCTTGATGAATAAAGAATATGGAGATGAAACAGTTCCTGGTTTGTGAGTCAGGGAATGGTAGTAAAACTGTTAATTTTTCAGAATTGCTCCGTCATTCTTTTGACAATACAAAATACCTTGGGCATAGACGGAATTGGAAGAGGATAGAAAAACCTCCTAGTAAGTCCAGAGTGTAGTTGATACACAAGCACTTTGATATTTTCTCTTACTGAGATTACAAAGCCTCCAAAATCTCCAACTTTATTCCATACTTTTCGGTTGAGTGGAGCTGCCATCATGGGCCCTGGTTAGCAGGAGATGCCTGTGCTGACAGCACACCTGCAGAAATCAGGGATTGGCCCTTGTTTTTTGAAGCTGCTGGGGCCCATCCATGCTGGCCACATTTTAAACATCACCTCCTAAGGGCACCAGAGCAGGCAATTCCCAAATGGCAGAAGCAGGCAAGGCAAAAGGCCAGCTTGACTGAACAGGGATCTTCTTTTGGAAATAGGGCAAAAAAGGAAGGTGCATGTGCAGTGGAAGCAAGGTCAAATGACATGGGAAGAATAGAGAGATGCAGTTTTCTACTTGAGGGAGAAAATTTGTGTGGCCAAAGCTCAACTGGAGTTCAAGCTGGCCAGAGGACAATAAAAGGAGCTTTTTCAAATATATTGATGGCAATAGGCAGCGTAAAAATAACATCATCCCATTACAGGATGATGGTCACCTCAAAAACAGGAACAGGACAAGGCAGAGATGTGTAATGCACTCTCTGTGTTTGAAATTGTTCTGTCCATGTTTCAGCAAGGAAGATGTATTTAATACTGTACAATATCCTTCTATAGACTTACAATGGTCTAATTTTAGCGGGCAATACTAGAATAGTTAATACGCTAAGACAAAATATTTCAGATACTTGCCTTTTGAAATGCTTTTCTGCCACAGGAGCCCCAGTAAGATTTGTCAACCTGTCTTAGTATGTTGTTATGTCTGCCTTAGTTTCCTCAAAATGGGATTTTCACAATGAAGGAGTATGAAGCACAGAAGAACTTAAGCAAATGGAAATACATGGGACAAAAAGAAAAAATGATTTTTCTCATGTGAAGAGGTGAAAAAGCAGATTGCAGTGCTCTGGTGCTGACAGAGATACAGAATAAAAATAAGTTATACTTTGTTACTGCTAAAAAAACAGAGGAAGAAAAACTCTTGGATTTGTAAGGAGAAGATAGAAAACAACTGGATGCCACAGCCCAGTTCTTTACATTTTTATCTTCATTTGCATTTGTGCTGATTGGTTTGACCTTGCTCAATTCACACCCTCTACACAAGAATAAATGTATAAAGAAGGGGTTGAGGCAGAATGAATCAGTCTTCTCAAAGCAGGCATACACAAAAAATGTGTATGCATACACAACCAATAAGGCATACAAGATTAGCTTCATCCATATGAAAATGAGGTGCAGTAGGGAAATCTTGGGCCCAGCCCTATTGAATTCAATAGACTTCTGAGTTCTAGTTTTAACTAAACTGTACAGAAAAATTCATAGAACTACTGGAAATGCTGGAGAACTTACCAAACCATTGAGTGGAGCTCTGCTGCCAGAAAATGTTGAAAAAACCCAATGCTTCTGCTTGTGTTTGGCGTTTGAACTCTGTTCCTTCACAGTTCAGAGTTTCATCTGTGCAGAGAATGTTCATGCATTCAGGAAACCATACATCATTTACAGGTATAAAAAAGGCAGAGGGACCTAAAGTCTGTAGGCCTCAAGGCAGACTCAGAGGAAACACCTGAACTCTGTATATTAAAACATTGTGACTAAATAGTCTTCTCTTAAACTTATTTTGACAGAGCTGATTAAATTTCAATCCTAAACTCTCCTCTATCAGCTGTAATTATTGTACTTAACCTTCAACTCACTAATTATTTTTCTTTTTCTTGAAGCCTTGTGAAGTCATTTTGTTTTACAGAATGTTTACCTTCTCAGTGGAAGGTGAACATTTTTCTATTGTTATGCAGAAACTTGCAAAAAATAAATGGGTTATCTTACGCCAGTAATGGGAATCTGTTAAATGTCGTTTCTCACAGAACTGCTCAGTCCCTTTCTAATTTCCACAGTTATTTTGGAACTGGACACAGGAAAAACAAAAAGTTTTCTATTTTCAAACTTTGAATATATATCAGTGCAGTCCTTCCTATAGTCTTTTCTTACAGATCTGACTATATTTCGAGGCCTGAGTATATTTTAAGTCCTCCATGATCCACTTCCACATCTTTTCTGCCCATTTTACCAAAAATTTGCCATTAGGGCAATTAGACTAGCTACTTTCCTAGGCTTTTATTAGAAGATTTTATGTACTGGGAAGAATTTAATGCAGCTTTTTTGTCTTAATTCTGACAGACCAGAATAAATACCTTATGGGGATCACACTAAGTTGTATCTTACAGCTTCAGGATGGCAGAATCATTAATGACATTTCTTAATAGAAGCACTTATATATTAATAATGTATACATTAATTACATGGCTATTATATAAAGTGCCTATAGAGTCTATGTACATGAATAGTATCCATGTAGTAAATCACAAAGCTATATGTCAACTGTAATTATCCATTCATTTTTAACTTCCTTTTCCCTGCTCCATTGGGCAATCTCATATTCCAGCAATCTAGAAAAGTTAGTCATCCTTTCTTTATTTTCTGATAAAGTTTTCCTTCCTTTCTCACAAAATCTGAAGTTTAGGCAAAATAGGAAACACCAATTTCTATCTTATAAACATCTGAAATAATTGACAGCTTTTGTTGAAAGAAGTGGTTTGAAAATGTGTGTGAGCAGATAAATATTAGCTAACACATCTGTACTACTTCTCTGAGATGCTTTATTTGGATCTCACTTTCAAAATTCTTTGTCAGGACTTAAGACTTTCCATCACAGTCATTAGCTTTTAAAGCAGAAAAATGAAGAAACCTGTGCCACTATTTAAAATTTTCTAAACACTCGAAGAATATTTTCCTCTTTCTTTTTCTTTAGCATATGAGGTTCAGAGGGAAAAAATAGCTTGGGATTGTTGCTATAAAAGTTTTCTTTATTTGGGCAAGGGGAAAGCTGTAAAATGTACTTCTGTCTCCAGAAACAAACAGCGTGGAAGTAACAAGCAGCTTGGGCACAGTAATACAACTCTTTCATATCCATGTCAATAAAAACCCTATACCACATTGCTCTATGATTATTCCATAATCCTGACATAGCAACAGCTGTATTCAGTAGAGTGGGTCAGAGGCTTTAGCTTTAAATCTGAATTTTACCATTCAATAACAAGGATAAAGGAAAAGAGTAGGAATCTTGATAGCCATTGAGTTTTAAAGGGGAAGCTTATTTTTCCTTCAAAAGCAGGGTCGTGAGAAAAGGAAACTACCATATACCTGTCTAAACATTTAAAACCTGAGGTACTGGAGAGGCTTGCTTTCCTTGGTGTCCTTTTTTGTTAGGTATATAGGCTCTTCCAAGGGGCTTTTCTTTAGCAATACTGTTACCATCCACTAACTGATTCAATTTTTTTTTTCTCTTGTCAGTCCAGAGGTTCATTTTTTTACATGATGATGTTTTCTTTAGCACGTCTCATTGAACACTCCAGATTTTTATAAGCAAATTTGAGACCATTTCACGTAATGCAAAAATTCATTGGCTTGAGTTACTTACATGTCCTAGGTGTGCAGTCCAACAGAAGCTGAACTCATCTGATGTCCCAGAATCAAACGTCTCTTAGTGAACCATTTTAAGCTAATTTTTGTTTCTCATTAATTACAATTTACAGCTTGCAGTTGCCAATTTGCACCAAGACTGAAGTTTTAATTTTTTTTTCCTTATGATAAATGGTTTTAGTATTCTTTCCTTGCTCTTCTCTACTAGATACAGCTACGACAGCCTGTTCTCCTAATGTATGGAGCTACTGTCTGTCCCATTTAGGGCTGGCATGAGAATTCAGCTCACATTTGCAATGATATTTTAGACTGATACCATTTTGGGACAATGAGTCAGCAGGTCACACTTCTCTGGTTAAATCCTCTTATATAAATTTTCAGAAATACTGACTTCCCGTTATAGTTTATGCACATGGTCACCCCCAAGTAACACAAATCAGCCAAATGAAAACTGCCTTTAGTCTTCCAAAAATATTACTAACTGAAGACATCACATACACAGTATTTCCAGAGGTTTTTTTTGTATTATTTTACATGAGAGATTTTGGTCTCTTTCTGTCTGTGTTTGTCATAAGCATCCCATCAAAATCCAAACCTTCTTGTCATGAGAAATTTGGTCTTGGATCCACACCTCCTTTCAGAGAGTCAGATGCACTGCTCTGTTGATAAAATTGATATAAATGCATGAAGTCACCTGAGGTTTTAAGGAAGAGTCCAAGTCTGATGAAATTATAATACGTACTGCTTAATGTTATCTGTTGAGGCTGGAACTTAGAGCATTATGGAATATGGAATTGATAAATTTAGAGACAATATGAGACTGGAAAGACATTTATAAGTGTGTTTTTCTCTCTCTCTTTACTTTTGGGGGTTATAACTTCTTAGTCCTACTTCAACCCTTTATATTACTATATAGCCTTAGCTTCCTATATGCAAAAATGTCCTGCAGAGAGCAAATATTATGGTGAAAAGTTAAGTGTTAGTGGTAGTGATATAAAATGAGTATTACTCACTGACTGGTCAAATTTTATTCCTGATTTTTTAAAATTTTCTTCTTTGTTGAAAGACATACTAAACATAAATGCAGCAATATTTCTCTTTCATCTTTAAAAATAACTCCAACCCAATGTCAGCATCTTTGTAATCATGCACAGGCCTTTGCAATTTAGCGTAAGAAATTCAAACTACTTAGGTGAGTTGTGTTACCTCCTCTTCAGTTCAGTTAGAGGACCCAAACAAAATGCCATACACAGAACTACCCTGTACAAATACAAATTTGTGCCTTCATTTCAAATACTCATGTCCAGGTATATCCAAGTCATGTGCAGCCAAAGGTATATTCCTTTGCTGGTCTAGCCTTTCTGGCTAAATCTGAAATATATGTGATTTTTGCTAATATAGAGAATGGCTGGAAGCTTAGGCCAGTCCTTAAGACTTGTAAATGGTCACAAGGTCTTTGTGACAAGCTGGGCAGGCAGCCTGACCCTGCAGATCCCAGATACCTTTGTAGAGACTAGTGCTGAGCCCCTGGGAGCAGAGACTCCATCACAGAGTCTGCCAGCATTGGTCAGGAAAGTTAATCACAAGGATCAGAGATGTGCATAGAGCTCCATCAGAGAGCTTTATAAAAAAGCAGAATGACTTGCCTACATCAGTAGAATTAAGAAGACATGTACTTTTGTTTAATTTCATGTTTTATTGTTGGTCTCATGCTATGCCCCAGGTCTTGATCATTTGTATAACTTTCTGGATAATGCAACAAGTAAAAAATCCTGTGTATATACTATGCTAGACAGGCATACACATTACCAAATACAGGCTCTGTTAACATAAAGCTACATAGCTGATTTTGAGGAAACCAAGCTGAGTTATACCAACCCACAATCTGCCCCATTATCCTGAAAGGTATTCTTTCTTCTTTTGTGTTTGTGGGTTTTGTTGGGGTTTTTTTAGTATAGTGGGATGAAGCAGACATTACATTTACAGCCCCAAACATTCTCTGCATATTCCAGTATCTTGTTTTTTAACAACTACCAAACACTGTGCGGAAGATTTTACTAAATAATCATCACTCCAAAGTCAGAACTGGTATTCCTGTCCTTGGGGATATGCTACCAGGGCCATACACATCCCCAGCTCTGAGCCTAACACATTTGGCCCACTGACCACAAAGTGCACTGCCTCCAATTACCTTTCCTCTTTGCTCTTATCTCAGTGTACTGACGCTGCACTTATCTTAGTCCCTTCCCTTTATCTAAAACACTGCAATCTTCCAAGTCCCTTAATGCAGTTCATGGTTTGACTCCTGTTGTTCTCATCTAATATTATCATCCCTTTCTGGTGTTTTACTTTCTCTCTTCCTTTTCCTGAAGCACTCCCACAAGCACCAGGGTCTTAAAAAATCACTGCTGTTTACAGAGTTTATTACTTTCCATAATTTCTTATGATTCTCCTGCAGCATGCCATTCAAATAATTATCTTTGTGATTTATTGTATTGGTCATATAACCTCCTTCTTCCTGTACTAATCAGCTCTGGAGTAGCTGCTTGGTAGAGCCAGATTGCCCCTGACAGACTCTTTCCCATCTCTGTGCTTCCTCACTCAGGCATGCTGGGATAGTGCTCTCTCTGGTCTTCCACATACACACTGAGTTCCTTGCCAGGGCAGACTCACCCTGGCTGGCCAGGAATCAGCCTAAACTGCAGATTTCAGCAAATGTCTCAAGCTGAGGAGCTGGTGCCTCTGCAAAAAATCTCTCTCTGCCTCTATTTAGGTGGCATAGCCATATGGCACTGCCCATGCAAGATTTTGACTGAAAGCCACCATAGAAAGCCTTTTGCAGTACATCTAAAATACTCAACACCCTACCTGAGCTTCTACAAAGTGCCACTGTACTGATGAGCAGATTGTTCACTAAAATGAGGGAGAGAAGAATTGAACTATCTTCAGACAGATCAGCTGGATCCTGTCACTGAAGGGAGGGGAAAAGAAAATGGTGAAATCTCCTCATCTTTCCTTTCTAGGGCAGCAGCAAGGAAATACCATAGCCTCCATTGTAAATTACACAGCAAAAATTCTATTTTGGACACCGATTCTCTACCTGGTTACTTGGAAAGTAACTGAAAAGTAATACATATAGACATTCCTTCTGAAATAAAGCCAGTCATGGATACCCAAAAATTACCAAACCACCCTCACCTCCAAATCCAGCCAGTGGCTGTAATTTCCTCTCTACCACACAACTAAAAAGCATTTATATGGGCATATGTGCCCACAGAGCTTTGTAAGAGAAAAGACAAAGACACAGAGTTATGGCTTACCAGATCCAAATGCTTGATTGTAACCCTGCCTCAGGGTTACCTTCCTGTAACTCATTTAAAAACTCATTTAAAACGAACAAAATTTCAAGGTACACTGAGTATTTTTGAGGTCAGCCCAATGAAACTACGCAATAAGGACAATACAGCAGTATTAAAGACATGATACATTGCTAGAGTAAATACTACTATAGCTTTGGAGAGCCTGATGTATGGATAACTTCTTGGAGTTTATTTACCCTTTCTTGTGGTGATGCGTGTTGTGGCATTTTCACACAAAAAAAGTTCTTTGGGAAAATGTCAACAAGATACTTCATAGACATTTTCAGACTATTACATAAGAAGATGGCACAGATATTTCCTTCCCACAGAAATTAAATTGGTGTTCAGGGAGAAAACCAATATTTCAACCTCCTGAAGATTGAAGTTAACTTTACCTGCCTCACAATCATGAAAGCTGGGGGGTAAGGGACAGCACTTGGCTGATGCATTTTTGGTGTCTCAGGCAGACAGATCTGGGTAATCCTGCAGTTTTAAAATGCTACTGCCCTTAGCTTTCCATCCTGCTACTCTGACACAGATTACTGCTCTTGTAGCAGAAGAAACAAAAGACAACGCACTGTTGTCCCCTCTTCTGTAAGAGCACAGGGAGGGGAGGGCCCAGTGCTGTACTGCAGATACTCCAGCTCTCAGCCTGGTAGCTTAGCAAAATTCAGTGGACTTTGAACTGGGGTTTCTGATGCAGAGGCACCTGCTCTCAGCTGCTACCTCCTTTCCTAGCAGAGCAGCCTCAGATATAAAACCAAACCAAACCAACAAAATCAGAAAAAACCCCCAAAAAACAAACAAACAAAAAAAAAAAAAAAACCACAACAAAAAACAAAACAGAACACCACAAAAAACCAACCAAAAACTCAAACACACAACAGAAAAACCCTTAGATAAGCAGAGAACTGAGAAATTAATTTCCTAGGCTCTTATGTTAGAGGAATATTCCAAAGTGATGATTCTTAGAATATAAGATACCATATTAATTATGACTCTCAAAAAAATCTTTGAAGGAGACTATTTAGAAAAGTCCTCAGTACTATTAATGTGAGCACTGAATAGGGCTGTTTATGGGTGCTATTACCTGTGAACTGAAGCTAATGCTCTTCAGAGGAGAAGGTAGAGCCATTAACAACTCAAAGATTTCCTCATAATACCTTTTGTACACATTGATCTGTTTCCTGCTATTAAAAACCAACCAAACAAAAAAACCACAAAGAAGGCAAAAATATTTAATAGATGATATTGTCCTGTGAAAATGGACTTGAAGCCCTACTCAGTCAGATGTCAAGGGCAATAAAACTCTAAGCATTAATCCCTGGGGAATAGTCCCATGTAGCAGAGAATCCCAAAGATGAAAAGATTCTGAGTAAAGGCCTCTTTTCAGGGAATTTCTGGAGAAAAGCATTTATGTATCCCAGTTTCCCCCGGTAACCTTACCAGACCATGGTCAGGACAACAAGCAGATTTGGTCTGAGAAGCAGATGAAATTTGCTCTTTCAGTGAATGTAATGTTAAGGTTGTTAATGTAAGAAAGACTGGTGTAACCTTGGAGAGAAAAGGGCAGACTCTTTGCCATGGAAGTTGGATCCCTAAAGAAAAAGAAACTGTCTCAAACTTGTAATGTTAACTCTCTCAAATGGATTCTGAGGGATTCTGCCAAGTCCTTCACTAACTTCACCTGTGTCCAGCTATTGGTGCAAGTGATCTGGGATGGCACATGAAAGCTGAGCCCCTTCAGCTGTTCCACAGCACTGGGTCTTGCAGTGATGCCTCCTGACTTTGCTTCACAGCAGCTCTGCCCTGTCTGCCCCACTGCTGTGCCCAGCACAGAGACAGACCAGCAAACAGAGACAAGCTCACTCTATTACAGCTCCCACTAAAAACAGGTGAAAGCTGCATGTTCTCTCCACTTGTGGTGCAGCTTGAAAACGAAACCAAAATACCCCCAAAGCAGCCAAAGGAAAACCCAGCCCGCTTACCCCAGCCCCAAACATCCCACACTCAAATCCAGTAAGGTATTAAAATGCCCTCTGAAAATGTGTAAGTGTTCTTAGTAGGAATCAATCCCAAAATATACATAGACCATCCTCCTCCCTTTTGTCAGTCAAATACCATGCTTTGGTAATCTAACTCCTGACTATAACTCATATATACACACACATGAATTGTACATACGCCACCTGTTTTTTCCCCGTTCTTTTTTTTCTTTTTCATTTCTTTTTTTTTTTTTTGGTTACCCTTTGAAGCAAGCCATTCTAGGCACTGGGGACAGACCATCCTCTCCTTTCCCAAAAGAGTAACCTTTCTGCAGGGGCCTCTCCAATCCAAATGGTTAGGAATCCAATACACAACAATCTTGCAGAAATCAGCTGCCAGATTTATTATTCTACCTGAAAACCCCCAAACAAAACAAAACAAAACAAAAAAAAACCCAACCCCAAACAAACAAAAGAGTGGAATAAAAATAGACTTTAAATAAACCTCTTAGGTACATTTTAAAAAGGGTTAATCAGTTCAGTGAAAGACCTTTTTGTCTTCTGCTGAGAGATCATGTAATGTTGGTCTGACTGCTTGTTTTGTTCAGTGAGTCACTACCGTATACAGATATATATATATTTTTTCTTCTTAAATATTACACATTCGATGCAATTTTAAAATCTTTTTTTTGTCCAACCCCTTTCCCAAATACCCACATCCTGCCACAGCCAAGAGGCGCTCTGTGCTGACATTAAAGAACCAAAACCAATCCAAGGACTTTTCATCAAAGCATGTTTCATTTGAACCTTATTTCAATGGAAACCACATATTTTTTAAACAATATTACTGAACATTCTCCCTTTCCTTTTTGCTAGTTCTGCAATTTTAGACGTCTTTTTTTGAGTTGATCACCAAGTATTTAAGTGCCATTGAAACCTATGAATGACAGAATTAGGTGGCATATTAAGGCATATATCATAAAATATGTTGTCTCATGGATCTGGGTAAATTAAATACCTGCCCAAATGCTTTTTATGCACCTGTGGTTTCTAGTGACCACTACTTCTTTACTTTTGATTAAATGTGTATTAAAATATTCATAACTTAAGTAGTGTCTTAACTGACAAAGGATGGAAGATTAACCCACCACCTAGGACTGTCTTTGAAATCCATTCATTATGATGAAAGTTATTATTGTCTTTTTATGGTTATGTGTTTATTTTTCCCCCACTTCTTGACAATCTAGGAAAACGAGGTACTTCATATAACAACTATTTAAATTTCACCGGGCAAAAAATTAAATCCAATTCTTAGCTTCCTCTCCACCCCTCCAACTTATGAATTATTGTATTTCAAAAAAGGTGCTCATAAATATTTTAAACTTTTGGGGTTTTGCCACTTTTTGTTTTTGTTTTACATAGAGAATAGCACGTGTGATTTGTGTCCAAGGTAACCCCTCTCAAAAAATAAAACAATTTGAAAAAAATAACAAAACAACCAAAAAAACCCCTCAAAATTTAAATTGTCTTCCGAGCATATCCGATCACATTTACATTTAGTGTCCAAAACAAGTTGATTGGTAACACCAGTGCCAGCACTACAACGTCATACAGCAACTTCATGGTATTCTTTGACAGTTCATCTCTGTTCCACCGAAAATTACAAAAGGTTCTGCAGAGCTTTCCTTAGCAAGCTGAAGCTTACTAGTCATTTGTGGATGCGCATAAAAGCTGCTTATAGCACAGCTATGGCGTAAGCTATTTTCTAAGCAATAAATGGTTCAAGTCATCTATTTTGTCCTGAAATGCTACCTGTAGTTACAGCATTGCTTATAAATGGTCATAGTAAATTCAGCATCAAAGAGAATATTACAGAAAAAGACAGCAGCAGAAGCATTAGCATTATCTAGTATTTATATATGTTATCAACATAACACAGCAGTAAAAGGTTTAAATGCATATTAATGGGTACCGTGTCTAAAAATTACTAAAGTACCTATTTAGTGTATTGGATATTTTTCTCAAGGAGTGCTTGCTGTGTCTAAACAGCATAATTAGATATGTGACTTAGTACAGTTAATTCCTATTGATTAAATAACTTATTTATGTACCAAAGGAAATGGAAGGATACAAAATGTTTTCTCCCTCCTGATCATGATCCTGTATTTAATGCTGACATGATCATCAGAAAGCCTACTCCATGTAATTACTACCCTCAAATGGATCTTGAAAAATCAGCGCCATAGCATGGACCATATATGTATAGCAATGTGGCACCAGATACAGCATGCAGCTTGCAGTCTGAAGTCAGGGATTTCACTGCTTGGTCACTGTACTTATGGCCAGTCTGTCATTAAATAGGATTTTTTTTTTAAGTCATACACAAAAAAGAGAAAAAATAGAAAAAGAATTAAAAGAACCAAGGAAAAAAATAGGAAAACTATCTGGTTGTTCACAGAGGCAAGGTACAAGTTCTGCCACTGGAAACTTCTAAATTAAATGCTGTGGTATATGCTTTGCTTCTCTTTTATTACTGCAGAAAGACAATTAGGAATGGCAAGAAAGAAATGCCCTAGGCATGCTGTGCTGATATCATCATCAAAAGTGGTTATTTTGCACAATGAGAATTAACTGTACTACGGATACCCAGAGAAAATGTACAATATCTTATGCCAATATGAAACAAAACAGACATGATATAGCTTTTTTTTTACTTAAAACCTGTATGTTCCCTTCCCAAACTTAAGTAAAAAGCAAACCCACCCTTTTCCTCCTTTTACACAGAATAACATTTAGGTTCCAACCCTCCTCTTTCAAATAAAGTGCGCTGTCCATGGCAGACCATAGGAGTAATGCAACAGGAAAAGCCCCTTTTTAGTGTACTATTTAAAAAACAAACTGAAGTCGATTCAGCTTTCCTCTGGGTCTTGGGAAAGAGGAGAAGCTTAAGGGAGGGGGAAGCACCCCTTCAGTGTCACTGTTGTTAATAGACATAGCCTTCGTTGTAGGGGTGGGTGTTGCAGCAGCCCCCGTCCTGCATGTAGACCATGCTCTCGTCGAAGTGGGACAGAGGCACAGTGTCCTCCTCATTGATGTGGCGCTCCATGTCCGTCTTCAGCAAGGGGCGCTGGTTGTCGGGAAAAGCCATGGAGAAAAGCGCTTCAGGGTCACAAACAAACTTGTACACGTATCTTTCTCCAGCCACCTTGGGACAACACAAGGGGAAAAAAAGGCGCAGTGTAAGGCCTCATGTTTCGCAGCTCCAAGTTCAACAGTCTTGCAAAGAACTCACCTTTGTTACACAATTAATAACGTGACAGCAGAACTGGTGAGCTAAAAACCTAGCAAAGACAAGTGGAACCTGCCAAAGCAGACTGTGCAGAATGCTCTTGATTTTGCCACTCATGACATCCTGTTGGAAGATGAACTAAGTACTCTGCTTCTAAACATTTGTTTGCGACTGCTTCCTATACTTAACCACAAATGGAACTGTTCTTATTGGAAAATGTAAACAAATTGTCACTACAGTGGCAAAATAAAATTACACACTCTGTGTGCGAAGTGGAAAAAAGAATCACATTGCACTGCAGAGATCTGGATTTCACTTTACACAGATTGATTCATGCTTACGTATAAAAGCACTTTAGTTATAGTGCCTGCTGATTGTACAGGGACAGTGTAAGCAAATACGTAGGCTAATATGTACTTAGCAATTGCTCATGCAAAGCTGGGACATTTGGATTTGCTTATGGAGGGGATATTTGTCCAAAGATCCTAAAGTTTTCCCTTAATCAGAAACAGCCTTAAATGTCTACGCTTCAATTTCCTA